CCTCCCAACCACACTCCTCCAGGTCTCACTGTCATTGCCCACGTGAACGTTGAAGTCCCCCAGCAGAACAAGGGAGTCCCCAAGAGACGCACTCTCCAGTACTCCCTCCAAGCACTCCAAAAAGGGTGGGTAATCTGGGCTGCTGTTTGGCGCATAAGCACAAACAACAGTCAGAACCCATCTCCCCACACATAGGCGGAGTGAGGATACCCTGTCGTTCACCAGGGTGAACCCCAACGTACAGGCACCAAGATGGGGGACATGTCTGCCCACTCCTGCTTGGTGCCTCTCACCAGGGGCAACTCCAGATTGGAAGAGTGTCCAACCCCTCTCAAGGAAACTGATTCCAGAGCCATGCATCAAGGTGAGTCCGACTATTTCTAGCCAGAACTTCACAACCTCACACACCAGCTCAGGCTCCTTCCCCACCAGAGAGGTGACATTCCACGTCCCAATAGCCAGCTTCTGTAGCCGAGGATCAGACCGCCAGGGTCCCTGCCCTCGTTCACCACCCTTCCCAAATTGCACCCGACCCCTTTGGCCCCTCCCACAGGTGGTGAGCCCATGGGAAGGGGGACCCATGTCTCCTCTTTGGGCTGTGCCCAACCGGGCTCCTTGGGTAAAAGCCCGGCCACCAGGTACTTGCCAGCATGCCCCGCCTCCAGGCACGGCTCCAGAGTGGGACCCCGGTGACCCACATCCGGGAAAGGGAACACTGTTTCCCTCCCATCTTTTTCATCATAAGGGGTCTCTGGGCTGTACTTTGTCTGTGTAATAGTGTGTAATAAAACTGTGTAATAGTTATAATAAAATAAAGTTCCACCTTGACACCTGTAATAAGTTTGCCAGGCATTTTGTTGAAAAGGTTGAGTCGATTAGGTCATCAATTCCACACTCCACAGCCGACCCTTCAGTTCTTGTCCCCTGCTCAGCAGTCTTCAGTCACTTTGACCCCATCTCACTCTCATTTTTAAATGAGGTCGTTAGTCACATGAAACCCTCAGGCTCCCCTGCTGATCCCATCCCAGCTGCATTTTTTAAACAGGTTCTACCGTCAACTGGACCCTCTGTTCTTGCCATTATTAACAGCAGTTTGGCTACAGGTGTGGTCCCCGATGTTTTGAAACATGCAGTGGTAACTCCATTAATTAAAAAACCCGGACTTGACCCTGCAGCTTGTTCTAACTTCAGGCCAATCTCAAAACTTCCATTTCTTTCTAAAATCTTGGAGAAAATAGTTTTTAGTCAACTAACCAAGTTTTTGAATGTAAATGGAATTTTTGAGATTTTTCAGTCAGGATTCAAACAACTGCACAGCACCAAGACAGCTTTAGTAAGGGTCTGTAATGACATTCTGCTAGCGAATGACTCTGGTCAGTCTGTGATCCTGGTACTCCTCGACCTTACCGCTGCATTTGACACTGTTGATCACAGCATCCTTATGTCACGGCTAGAACACTGGGTTGGGATTACAGGGGTGGCGCTAGAATGGTTCCGTTCGTATCTGGGTGACAGGAGTTTCTGTGTTAACTTTGACAATCATTTTTCTGCTTCTGTCCCTCTTTCCTGTGGGGTCCCACAAGGCCCCCTTCTGTTCTCATTGTATCTGCTCCCCTTGGGGTCAATCCTGAGGAAACATGGTATTTCGTTTCACTGTTACGCCGATGACTCTCAGATCTATCTACCTTTAAAACCAAACAGTTCTTGCTCCATCCACCCTTTGCTAAAATGTCTTGATGACATCAAGACTTGGATGGCTGCAAACTTCTTGAGTTTTAATGATCAGAAGACTGAGGTCATTGTGTTTAACCCAAGCTCTACCACTGTCACTGATCCTGTAAACCTGCACCCCCTTCAGCCTCATCTAAAGCAGTCAGTTACCAATCTCGGGGTGGTGTTAGACTCAGACTTTAAGTTTAATAAACAGATCAACTCTGTTCTACAAAAAAGCTTCTTTCAGCTAAGGCAGATAGCAAAGCTTAAGTCCGTTCTGTCCAGATCTGACCTTGAAAAAGTAGTCCATGCATTTATTACTTCCCGGCTGGACTACTGTAACTCACTTTATGTTGGGGTTAGTCAGGCTTCACTCTCACGTCTCCAGCTTGTCCAAAATGCTGCAGCTCGGCTTTTAACAGGAACTCACAGGTTTGAGCACATTACTCCGGTTCTGTCCTCCCTTCACTGGCTTCCTGTACGTGTCAGAGTTGATTTTAAAATTCTCCTGCTGACATTCAAGTGCATTAACGGCCTTGCGCCATCATACCTCTCTGACCTTCTTCATCCTTATACTCCTTCTCGGGCTTTGAGATAATCAGACCAGCTGCTTTTTGCCGTACCAAAAACCAGGCTGAAGCTCAGAGGAGATCGAGCGTTCTCAGTCGTGGGCCCTAAACTTTGGAACAATCTGCCCATCAACATTCGACTGGCCACCTCAGTCTCTGCTTTTAAATCTCTCCTAAAAACACATCTATACTCATTGACATTTAACACAGGGTGATCAGCTTTAGATCTGGTTTTTCATTGATGCTGATTCTGTTTATGCTTTTGTTATTATTCCTATTTAACACAAGGTCATCTGATCTGATTTAGTATTTCATTGTTTCTGACTGAGTTTATGCTTTTTGTTATTATTTCCTTGACTTTTGACACAACTTGATCTGATTTAGTATTTCATTGTTTCTAATTGTTTTTGGTTTTATATTTTTATTCCATGTGCTGTAAATATAGCTTGCTACTTTTTATCTGATGATGTGATATTTTTGTTAGGCACTTTGGTAACAGTTTCTGTTTTAAATGTGCTCTATAAATAAATCTGACTTGACTTGACTTGACTCAGGCAAAACAAATAATCCCTTTGTCCTTCATGAAAGGAAAAACATGCTGTTTGGCAATTCCAGTCACGTTGTCCATAAACCTTTTTATTAAAAGTTCTCGTGACTTTTTAATTTTTTATCAAGACTATAGGAGAAGAAAACATTTAGTAAGACCAACAAATTGTTTCTTGATAATGACTTAGTCAACACCATCCTCAACAAGAAACGTTTGATTCTTTCAAAGGAAGATATTTTTAAAAGCCTACATTGGAGAATGTTAAAGTCAAAGCCCTGAGCAAAAAATTAAAGGCTTTGGGTGATTTCTTAGTTCCACTAAATCGTACTTGGGCAGCTTTAATTATCACATACGCCTCTTTTTTGTGGGTATTAAAAGAAATCTTGTGACCCAATTCTCTTCATGTTCATCTAGACACTCATTGTACTCCCCTTTGCCACTACCCCAACACACATGATTTAATCTACTGAAGTACTTTTAAATTTGAAAAATGATTTGAAATAGTTTTAAAAAAATCTCAATCACCAGCGTGATTAAGACTGGGATGCTACAAGGATGTAGCCTCAAAATGTTTTATGAATGACCCTAGATCTCAAGACGGGAAATCTAAATATCCAGTGATACTTTATTTAGGCATTAAGCTCTTAATGTAGTATCATAATTTATGTTTGTCTAAAAAGACTTAAAAAGTTGAGTATGTGCTTTCTCTGTATTTTATACAAGCATCTGCCTTAATACACCTGCACTGTGCCAGGCCTGCAACTGCAGGAAGTAGATTTTTTTATTTTGTATTTTTTGCTGCAAGAAGAAAATGTCTTTATTCAGCTGTTAGCAATGTTAAATAAAAAGTAGCAATGCATAATAATGCTCATCAAATTGATATGTTCACTGCGAGTGAGTCATTATGCATGCCCTAATATAACTGATATGATCTACAATTTAAACAAGTGTTTATTTCTCTTAAACATTTGTCATGAAGATAGCACATTATTGTTATGGTATGAAACGTTCACTATAAAATAAAATACATCTTGGACCTGCATACATTTTTTTTTCTGACTTCCCCTCGACAAAGACGGATGCTTTTCTTCCCCCTCATGCCGTCCTCCAGCTTTTACTCTTTGTCCTGTGTATCAGAGCCGCTCTTTTCACATCTTCCGAATCATAAATTATTATGGATCTGGTCAGCTGGTCTCTCCACGCAATTCATAAAATTTTATCAACGAGGAGACAGGGTGCAGGAGAACCCTCATGCCCTGAAGGGACACGCGCAGCTGTATATGTCATGGATTCCTGGAGTGTGTGGAAGATGATGTGTCTGTCTGTATTGTCTGTTAAAATGGGAAAACAATATGGTATAAGTACACATGACCAGCATCCTTGGATCATTTGGGGGCGGCTGTGGCTGAGTGGTTAGAGCAGTCGTCCTCTAATGCAAGAATTGGGGGTTCAAATCCATCAGCAGTCACATGCCAAAGTGTCCCTGGGCAAGACACTAAACTCCTCACTGCCTCTGATGTGTGTCCCATCAGTGTATGAATGTAATGAAGCTCTGATTAGTCTCTTTAGAATGATTTGTTCAATTATCTTTGTAGAGATCTAGTAGAGTGCTGTAAGAATGGGTAAATGAGGCACAGATTGTAGTGTAAAAATCTTTGAGTTTCTCGATAAGATAGAAAGGCGCTATATAAGTACAGTCCATTTACCATGATACTACTTAAAAAGCATTTCTTTTAAGAGAAAAAGGTAAAAGGACAACGTTCTCAGTTCCAGAGACTGTATTCTGCCATTTTACTTGATGGCAGATGATGAATGATTTCAGGCCATCAGGTGAAAAGGAGGAACCCAGACACAGACCAGTGGTCATTCCATATGTTGAGGGAGTGTCAGAGAAACTGAGACGTTTATTTTCTAAACATAACGTCCCAGTGGCTTTTAAACCCCTCAACTTTACATGATTGTTTGAGCAGTGTTCAATCTAAATGTCAAGCAAATTTAAAGTTTTTAATAGTTTTGTCAATTTTAAAAATACTTTTATTAATTTTTCTATTACCTGGTTTGGATTCTTTTCATCGTGATACCAAAGTTACCAACAAATGTATTGAATACAAATCATTCATAAGACACAGTGCATGAACATACAACAGGTCCTTTCTTGGCTCTCGTTGCAGTGGACCACTGTGACATGCTGAACAGCTGTCCTGATGAAGAACCCATGATGGCTGGTGAAGAATGTCTTGATGCTGCAACAGATGAGTCCTTGCTGGACACCAGCCCCATCCAGTCACCACTGCAGGTCTTTGCTGGCATGGGGGGCCTGGCCCTGATCGCAGAGAGGCTGCCTATGCTCTACCCTGACGTCATTCAGCAGGTGAAACTCACACGCAGGCTTTTAAGACGTCTCAAATCAAAATCACATAAATTTGTCAAACTAAGTTGGAATAAATGACGATATTGTCCTGATTGTTCTTTTTTTTTTTAAATTGAACCTTTATTTCACCAGGAAAATCCCACTGAGATTAAAAATCTCTTTTGCAAAAGAATCCTGGCTAAGACTGGCAGCAGCACACAGAGGTTACAGAACATTCACAGCAAAACCAGAAAAAGTTAACTCTGTCAGAAATAAATTATAAGATTCCTCAGTTAACACGTTTACAGATGACTCCTTTTGCATATCAATAAGAACAGCCTTAAAAACATTTAGTGGCAACAGCTCCTTTAGGTTCTTGTATTTCTGCAGCTGGTTCAGTTCAGACTTTAGGCACCGAAAGTAAAAATCAGTTCTCACAAGGAAGAGAGTGGACTTTCTCATATATTAGTTTCTACTAAATACACATCTAAGTCTTTTTCACATGTTTCATTCGGAGGGGGAAGTAAAATTATTATTATTTTTCCTTTAAAAAAAATGGTAGAATTTATACTTTTTAAATGTTTGTGTTAAAAAAGAAAAAAAGACGTGTAACAAAGTATACTTTGTAATAATAGTTTTGTGTTGAAAGTGATTATTTCAGTTGTTTTCTTCTCTTTACTGCAAGACTTGATTTGACTGTTTTTCACAATGCAAAGCTTTTTGTGTGTGGGTGGTGGTGGGGTGGTGGTATGGGATAGAGGCATGGCAGCTGGTTTGGGACCAGAAAGTCGCGGTTCGACTCCCAACCATGCCCACATGTCATGGTGTCTCTGACACCCGTTCCCCAACTGCTCCCCGGGCGCTCAATAGCCGCTGCTCCACCTGGGTGTGTCTCAGGTGTGATGGGTGAAATGCAGAGAACTAATTTCTTCATCGTATGAGAACAATGATTACAATCTCAAACTTCCCTTCCCTTAAACTTGGTACTAATTTTTGCTGTTGATTAATCCTCGTGGATGGTTGGTTCACAGGTCAGTGCCCCGGTGGTTCCCTCCTCCACACAGGAGAAGCCAAAGGACAGTGACCAGTTTGAGTGGGTGACCATCGAACAGTCAGGAGAGCTGGTGTACGAAGCACCAGAGTCGATTGCTGCTGAGCCGCCTCCTGTCAACAAGCAGCAGTCCCAGTCATCCTCCTCATCTTCCTCCTCCTCAGTGCAGACCATGTCCCCCATCCCCGCCCACTCACTGGCTGCTTTTGGCCTCTTTCTGCGGCTGCCAGGCTACGCCGAGGTGCTGCTGAAGGAGAGGAAGCACGCCCAGTGTCTGCTGCGCCTGGTGCTGGGTGTTACAGATGACGGAGAAGGCAGTAAGTCTAGAAACGCCTCCCAGCTGCCGGCACTGACAGAATCTGTGAAAGTGTTGAAACAGACAGACCTGCACCCTGACTCCCTGTGCTGCTCTATTTTTTTATTAATGTCTGAAGACTGTAAATGATTAGTCTGGCTCTGGTTTTAGAAAAGCATTAGTTTCTGTCTGGAAAACTTTTAAAATAATTAAATATTTGTAAAAGAAATCCATACTAATTTTGTTTTACTTTTTAGTGGTTTTCTCTCATCTCACCTGTATTTAAACTGAAAATTATTCAGTACATGTCTCCTGAAGTCAAACTTTTATAATATGGGATTTGGATTTAGTTCAGTGTATAAAAGTCTGCTTTGACATTTTCCTAGGCCACATCCTGCAGTCTCCATCTGCTAATGTGTTGCCCACGCTGCCGTTCCACGTCCTCCGAGCGTTGTTCAGCAGCACTCCTCTGACGACAGACGACGGCGTGCTGCTGCGCCGCATGGCTCTGGAGATCGGTGCCATCCACCTCATCCTGGCTTGTCTGTCAGCTCTTAGCCATCACGCCCCGCGCAACCCCAACGCCAACAGCGGTGTTTCCGAGGTATGAGAAAACAAACGCGATGTGTCTGGCTGTGATTCTGAGACTCGCTCTGCAAATGCAGAAGTTAAACTGTTTTAGAGACGTTTGTCTTCAGCTGGACTCTTAAGTACATCAATCTGAAAGTGTCCCTGACCACTTTGTTTTGTCCAACTTGTCAAAGATAGTTTGGGTGAGTGGTACTGATTTCCTTTCCTGTCCTTGTGCCTGACCTTGACAACATTATGTGCAGTATGTGCTTAATAAAATAAGGAATTGGGACAAGAGGAGGACAAAAAAGACGTGTCAAGCCTATAAAATCTCTTGCAGGCCGACGGACAAAACCTAAGTCATCTTTTAAAGAAACAAGGAAATTCATCAAAGATGTGACAACAGAACCAGGGACATGCATTGTCCTTTACAGTATTCCTTCATTTATCACGGGTGTTCCGTACCCTGACCCCCCACGATAAGTAAAAAACACGAAGTATGGATACAGTAGTTCAAGTTCAGTTCACGTTCAGTAAACTTTGTCATGACATGTGCCAGGCTGTAATCACACTCATCACCTGTTACTCCCAATCTCCCTTTTTAAATAAATAATTTAAATTTAAATACTGTAACATTTTTCATAAACGGTCCATACAGCATGGATTATTAATTTAAAATATTAATATATATAATTTAAATTGTAGAGAAAAGAAGTGCAGCAGGACATCAAAGGGATGTCGGCAGCTTCAGCTCTGCAGCACGGAGCAGAAATGTACGTCTTGATCAATTACACTGAAACAACTGAACTTAGAAGTTCTAAAATAATTAAAAAAGAACTTTTAACACTTTTATATTTTGTGATTATGATGATTTTAGGATGTGACATACTTTGAATTTTAAGTTGGAAGACAAAAGTCAATTTGTGCATCTGAACAGCAAAGGGTTAACTCTTCACAAAGCTGCAGCAGGAGAAATGTGTGTGTGGCAGAGGAGATCAGCTGATCAGCTGCAGGAGAGAGCTTCCCTCTGCACTTGTGGGCTGCACACATGGTGCAAAATCATTTTAAATAATTTATTTTAAATAAACAACCCATGACTCATCCATCAATCAGCCTATTGTGTCATGTCCAATCTTACTTTGAAAAACCGTGGTATATTGAACCGTGAAGTAGCGAGGGACTGCTGTACTTGGCTTACTACATGTTTCAGTTTTCTCATTTGCTAGTTTGTTGGGAAATTATCTTGTTTTTTTCTAAAAGCCCATTTTCTGGACTTTATCTTTAATGTTTATAGACACTACCAAAGAAATAATGTGTCTAAAGCAGAGGTGCCAATACATTGATCGGCAATTTCACTAGATCGCATGGTGAAATAATGTCAGACTTAAAAAAATATATATTTTAAATTTTTTTTAATGGACATCAGCGATCAATCCATCTTCACTATGCAAATCATCACTTGACTGACATACAGGGCAGCCAATCAGAGACCGGATCTTTTCTGACGCATAGGTCACTACACATGTGCATTCCACCATGCTAAAGACAAATGAGTTGACTCGTAATAGCCTCCAGGTTATATCTAAACTCAAAGTGTGTAAAATGAGTTGGAGAGCTGGACCAAGTAAGAAGCAAAAATCTACCATTTCCATATGGAAAGGGGGAAGGACTTTTTTTTCCACAATGTCATATTCAAAGTGAGTTTGCCTCATCTGCAAGTGTACCGGAGCAGCATTTTCAGACTATATTCATAAATACTACGGCTCTGACTTCCTTCTGAAAAGTGAGCTAAAGTGAACTAAAATCCCAGTTATCTGGACAGCAGTCATTTTCCTCCAGCTGACCACAGCAGCAAAGCATCATTCTGGGTGAGTCACTTTAATAATTGTTCAGCACAAAAATCTTTTCAAGACGGAGAGATGGGAAAAGAGGCATTCGTTGAAGCAGCTGACTCGTTGTTCAGAGACTTCAAAAACAAACCAGAAATGTTACCTTCATCAAAGCTCCCGGGTATCAAGAAATGCGGTTAGAGTTAAAAGCAGCTGCTGTCGGCTGAATTTTCACTTCTCAGGTTATTTTCAAACATGAAGTTATTCTTGTTGTTTTCTGTTCCTTTGTGTCACGGCTGTGGCTGAGTGGTTAGAGCAGTCGTCCTCCAGTGCAAGAGTTGAAGGTTTGAATCCACCAGCAGTCACATGCTGAAGTGTCCTTGGGCAAGACACTGAACCCCTCGTTGCCTCTGATGCGTGTTCCATCAATGTGTGGATGTGATAAAGCGCTAGTTAGTCTCTTTAGAATGATTTGTTCAATTAGTTTTGTATAGATCTAGTAGAGTGCTGTATGAATGGGTACATGAGGCACAGATTGTAAAGAGCTTTGAGTATCTTGATCAAATAGAAAGGCTATATAAGTACAGTCCATTTGTGTGAAGAACAGAAGTTATTGCTGGGTTTTATTATTTTGTACGCGGACAGTAAAAATATATTGTCACTTTTTTTTAAACAAACTTTTGGGTTTTGTCATTTATGTTGCGTCCACAGTGAGCTGGGACGTTTTCATTAATTCAAGCTTTATTTATCAAGGTTAGTCTCGTTGAGTCACAAGGACTCATTTACAAGAGAGACCTGTTTTAGACAGACAACATATAAAATACAGTAAAATGCAGTTAAAATAAAATAGTGTTATAAAACAATAGATCAACGTGCCATATAAAACGTGGAAAAATACTAAAAACAAGAATGTTGAAGAATGTAAAACATAAAATGCTTACTTAATATGTTTATAATTAAGTATATGTTTTGTATTTTTATAGTAGGTAGCTCACTTTAGACCGGGTCATTTTAAAAGTAGCTCGCATGCTGAAGAAGTCTGGGCACCCCTGAGCTACAGATTCTAATTAAAAATGTTTTTTAGCTTTATTTTCTGATGTTTGATGACACAACATTGGTTCATCATTTTAATAAAGATCGTAGTCATTCATCTGAAAATAAGTCTGCTACAAAAACTAAAGCTGAGTGGAAAAAACAGCCCAAGTCCAAATCTCAAAGACCTTCTGAAACCATAAAGAGCTTTTAATAAAGGCATTTTCAAATAATACAAAAAGTCTAGCTGTTTGGAAGCATTGTAAAAATTAACTTGGTTTAAAACTTGCACAGTAATGTACAACCAAGAAGTGATCAAAAACCAACGCATGAATTTATGAAGGCTCCAGCTTTACACAGCCAACACTGAACAAGTTCACACAAGATCAAACTTTGAACTTTCCTTCAAGCTGCTGCAGTGCACCCCCCCCCCCCCCCCCCATATTGTCAAGCTTTTGAACCTCAGACTTTTGGGCTTCTTACCCCAGAACTTCTCGACTCAGCCTCGTTTGTCAGTCTGCCTGAAGAATAGTGTTTTGGTGCCAACCGTGATAAAGTAACGAGGGAAATGCTGGTCATTATTAATGCCTCTTCACCTGGCTGCTCTTTACTCAAGGTGTTTGTTCTTCACCTTGCCTACATCGCTCTTTGCACGGTGACTCCCTGACAAATGGTCTAATGGTTGATCCGCAATGAAAAGAAGCAAATTGAGTTCTCGTTCATAGCATTTGCTTTGTGTCTTACATTGGGAACGCCCTCGACGTGACCCCATCAGAAGCTCCTTTTACATGACACCAGCCAGGATTGGCTGGAACAAGGCTGTCGGTGCCGAGGGGGGGCAGGTGCCCTCCCCCTATTTATAGGACCGTCGCTGCGCTGACGGTTTGTTCAAAATGTTCACCTCTTCCTTGCAATGTCAGAGCAAGGAGGCTGAGACGCTCACTAAATCCACTGGACGGTTTAAGGTCCTCCTGGTTTTCCTGTTAGTCCTTTATCTGATCCAGAAGATTTCTGTAGTGCCTTACTATCCTTGAGAAAATGATGTCAAAGTTTAGAAGCAAAATAAAATGACAAGTTCCTGACATGATGTAGGACAATTTACAGATGGTTGTTTTAAAGATAAAGCAGCATGAACGTGTCAGATATATATTAAAAAAGGGACTGAATGCGTGTTGACCCACTCACTAAATGTAAGACACAGTGATACATTCTCCTGGCTCAAAATGCACAACTTTAAATCCTAATTATTTTGTTTTGTGTTTTTATGAATATTTAAGTGATCACACTCAGACTGTGGAAATTCTGCCTGAAGTGGAAAACAAAGCAGAAACCAGCAGGATGGAGTTGAGGCAGTGGGAAAATGCCAGATAATGCTTTATGGAAAAGCTATGGACAATTAATAACAGACTGGTTGTAGACAGTTCTTTGAACAATCTCACTTTGGAAAAACTGTGTTTAATTCTGACTTTACTAATGATCTACCAGCTCATCTGGATGCAGCTAAGACCACAGTGCTTTGCTGACATTTTAGAAAGGCTCCATTCTGAAACAAGTTCAAAGCAGTTCACGTGAACGCTATTTTGTAAACTTTATTTTTACGTCAGTTTTTGATTACTTGGCATCATGTATTGCTGTAACACACTGCACATAACAACCTGAGGCACTTTCTGTAAGCATCATATTTCTGTCAGAATAATCATGTTTTATAAATAACATTTGCATTAACCTCGATGACTTTTTTGAGACTGGAGTTGTTTCAAGGTGGCAACAATCTGATTTGGCTGCTCAGACTCGCTGTTTTTCAGTTAGGGCTTGGAAAACAAACACAATTTCCATGAGTACTTTTAAACAGCAGAAGTTAACGTATCATCAGTAAATGGAAAAATGGTCATTTTGGGTGTAAATATTCACATTTGATAAATATGTAATTGGGCTTAACTTGTGTGTTTGCAGCCACAAATCTCCAGCTGCCACAACGCTGGAACTAGTGAGGAGCAGCAGCTGTACTGGGCTAAGGGAACTGGTTTTGGGACTGGATCCACAGCCTCGGGCTGGGATGTAGAACAAGCTCTCACCAAACAGCGGCTGGAGGAAGAGCATGTTACCTGTCTTCTCCAGGTATCCACTGACATCAGAACCACCTGTTCACATTACATCAACACAACTTCACGTTTGTTACCACATAGTTCATTCTGCTCGAAGGTCATCATTACAAAATCAATGTTCTTTATGTTGGATGGTGTTTTCATGTATGTTAGCGCAGACTTTCTTTTTTTAGTTTTGATGATTGTTATGAAGCGGTGTTTCACACATCATGCAACAATTTTTTTGGTCTCAAAATGTATTGAGCCCATAAGTAATGTGGGGGAGGGAGAGATTTCAGGTTAGGAAGAAAAACACGAAAAAACAAAAAAACTCCAATCACCTTGTTGCGATTTGGATTTTTCTTGCATGTTAGTTTTATTCACACTGCAGGAAAATGCACCCCAAATCCAAAATGTTTCCTCCATATGCGACCTATATCTAAAAAAATTTTAACAGTCTGAAAGTGACAAATCTTTTTTTTCCACATCTGACCCAAGTCTTTTTCATATGCGGTACTGAAGCTGATACATATCAAATGTTTTGTTTTTTTTTAAACAGAGGTCTTAACGGTAATTTTGCATTTCATAAAACTTTTACATCGTTGAGGTTGGGGTAAGCGGATTGATACGAGTATTAATAATGATACCAACCTCATGCAGTTTAAATATTGAAAATCCACTTGTCTTAAGCTACAAATCAGAAGTTCAGTTGTTTCGTCTTTGTTTTAATTTCCCTTGTCCTGGTCGACGGATAATTTACAGCAATCTACCGTATTTTCCGCCGTATTTGCCGCACCACCCTATAAGTCGTATCAGTCCAAATATGTCTAATAAAGTGGAAAGAAAATCCATAAATACGTCGCATCTATTATGTGTCACCGCTGACGTGTCGCGTTTGTTAAGAGTCATAGCTGAAAACCCGGAAATGTGGACCAGTGTTGTGCCAAAAATCGATTGGCTGCCAAATGACGGCCGTGGGAGCACGCACGGGAGGATTTTAACAGGAATTTAACAAGATTAACACTTAAAAACTGTTATTTGTTTGCTTTACATTATAGTAAAGGTGTGTCAGCCTAACTTTTCCTTAATAAATGCACTTTAACGGTCAAATTAGCTGCATTTCAAAAGCCGATAAGCAGAAACATGAATGCGCAGAGGGAGTACTCGCTGTCCATTTCTTCAAAATTTAACAAGATAACCACCTAAAAACAATTATTTGTTTGCTCGACATTATAGTAAAGGTGTTTCTCAGTTGAACTTTTACTTAATAAATGCACTTCATTGGTCAAATCAGCTGCATTTCGCCTGGGCGGCGCAGCGAAATTAAGCTGATTTGATGGTTGCTCAAGGCGAGTTGGACGTAGGTGGCAGGCTATGGCAAGCAGACTTTTACCTATTACATGATACAACAGCATGCCATACTACTCGAGTGCTATCTAGTGGCTGAAAATGATAATGTTCAATATTTTCTGTCAGAATGAATGAAACCGGTCATATCTCAGCCAAGAATTGGTCTATAAATATGGGGAAAAATCCATTAATACATCACATCAGTGTATAAGTCGCAGGGCATGCAAATTATGCAAAAAACTGCGACTTATAGGGTGAAAAATCCAGTATTAACTCGGCCTGTCACAATAATAAATTTTGCTGGTCGATTGTCTCAGAAATGATTGCGATAAACGATATTGTTTGAAATTTGACAATAATTAGTATTTATTGTCCAATTTAAGAAGAAATGTTTATTTGTTTTGCATGTAGTACCTTCTTTTTGACCACCAGATGGCAGCGTAAGACAGTTTGAGCAGAAGGATGTATAGTGAGGGAGCGAGCAGTGTCTCTTTAAGAAAAATGGGAGGGAGGCCCCTTAATGTGGCATGGACTGTCTCTCATTCCTGGATTTTGGTTCTCAAAATGGCGAACGCTTGGTGTGGTTTGAGCTCTTTAGCATAGCATTTTTCACACAAAGCTTTTAATAAAAAATCAGTAAACATGTTCTCAGCTTCTTTTTGCAGAGAAAAACAACTTTTTACACAAAGTCACGGGTTTTAACTGTGAATTTTGGAGCTTTGACAAGACCGAGTTTTTTTTCCCCGAATTCAGCCTGTTAGCTTAGCTTGTAGCTTAGCTTCTCAGCTTAGCTGCTTTTAATGATCCAAAAATGTGATTTTATACGGTTTAAACATATTAAAGAGAAAGGGAGGGATCAGTGAAACGATAAAGCTGATAAATGAAAATGAGGTAGATAATTTTCATTTATCATGCAATTAATTGATTTGTTTATTGCGACAGGCCTAGTTCTAACCATGTCGAACCATACTGATGCTAATGTGATGGGATTGATCCTTGAGTTTTTTTTATCTTAGGCACGTCACTTCTGCTAACAAAATAACAACACTAAGCCGGTGGAGTTGTCAGGAGGCAAGATTAAATGTATCGTATTTTTCGCTCTATAAGTTGCAGTTTTTTTTACATAATTTGCATGCCCTGCGACTTATAGGCTGAAACAACGTATTTATGGATTTTTTTTCCCAAATTCCAACAAACAACAAATCAATTTTTGTCTGAGATATGACCGTTTTCATTCATTCTGACTGAAAATATTGAACACTACCATTTTCAGTCGCTAGATAGCGCTTGAGTAGTATGGCATGCCGTTATATCATGTAATAGGTAAAAGTGGCTATTAATGACTCAATCGGCTTTCTATAGACTGCCACCGTCGTCTGCCTAGAGCAACTGTCAAAGCAGCTTCATTTCGCTGCGCCGCCCAGGCGAAATGCAGTTAATTTGACTGTTAAAGTGCATTTATTAAGTAAAAGTTCAACTGAGACACACCTTTGCCAAAATGTTGAGCAAACAAATAATTGTTTTAGTTGGTTATCTTGTTAAATTTAGAAGAAATGCACAGCGAGTCGTCCCTCTGCACGTTCATGTTTCCGCGTAACGGCTTTTGAAATGCAGCTGATTTGACCGTTAAAGTACATTTATTAAGTAAAAGTTAGACTGAGACACACCTTTGCTATAATTTCGAACAAACAAATGATTGTTTTTAAGTGTTAATCTTGTTAAATTCTTGTTAAAGTCCTCCCATGCACACTCCTGCGACCGACATTTGGCAGCCAATCAGTTTTTGGCACAAAGCCGGCCCACATTTCCGGGTTGTCAGCAGTGACGTGTAACAAACGCGACACGTCAGCGGTGACACAAAAGATGCAATGTATACAGCGACGCAACATATTTATGGATTTGTTCACTTTATTAGCCATATTTGGACTGATGCGACTTATAGGGTGGTGCAACGTTTACGGCAGAAAATACGGATCAACACTGGCCCAAACTAACATGTCAGACAATTTAATCTGTTCTGATTGTGCAACAAGTTCAGAATCACACATGCTAACATGTGCAACATATTTACTTCCTTAAACACAATAGGCTGCGTGTGACGTTACATTTTCTTTTGTGCATGTGTCATCTCAGAACTGCAAACGGTTCACATTTTAGTTTGATGGAGGATCTGAGCAAAAAATCAGAATGGAGCATTAAGACCTGCAGCATCAACATAGCCTTAGAACAGTTCCCTTTTTTCCCTGCAGATAAAATACACAGTCATATATGGTAGTCTAAAGTTTCTTATAGCATTCCTGTGACAGAAAAAAACATTGTATTCTGGGTCAAAAATTATTTTTAGACTTTTACTTTTTAATGTGTTTAAAATGTTCTTCAAGTAATTTTCCTATTTCCTAATCTGCTTAAAGGTCTTAGCGAGCTACATTAACCCAGCAGGCTCCAGCAGCTGCCACGGCGCTGATGGCCCCTCTGCGGACAGCAGATCCCAGAACAGCTCATCTTTGCCAGCAGTGCTGCAGGAGCTGTTGAGCCAGTCCTGCCTCATTCCTGCCATGTCCTCCTACCTGCGCAATGACTCAGGTACGTCTCCTGTCTTTACAAATACTGAGCAGGACTAAAGGTCACCCTCTTCATCGGATTTTGAAAAATACTTTAAAACTTCATATTTCACAAAAATTTAGCTGTCACTCAGCACTGCAGGAAAAAGTTTAAACTGAATTGTACTTTAGAAAAGTAGAATAGATCACCTGTCAGAATGCAGTGGGAGACAAACCGCATGTACCTGAGGAAACTGCAGTGCAACAAGCCCATCACGGGGTCAGCAAAACTTTAGGTCTTTTTGGATGGATAAGGTTTATTGAGCTAAAAAATGGAAAAGGAAGATTTGTCTTTTCACATCGAACAGATGATATCTGTACAAAACACCTCAGACACATCTAAACAGAGACTTGTGGATTGTTGTTGTCTGTGTTTACACAATTCTTCATGTTGAGCCTACAAAGACAGAAAAGGCAGACAACAGTTAAAGAGCAACCTGTTCAAGTACAGTGAAGGGGAGGCTGAAGTGGCACCTTCAGCTGAGGCTCGTTTCACTTTTTACACCATCACATGATACATTTAAACTTATTTAAGCTAATTTATTATGACTTGTTTCTGTAATCATCCTGTATCTTGTTTATTTTTTGTTCCGTTGTCAAGTAATTTTTCTTACTGATAAGTTTTTCTGTTTCTCCATGTGTGGTGGGTGGCTATTGATGTGAATTGTTGCCAGTTACTAATGATATTCTCATGGCCTCAGACAATGGACTTGTGTCTACACTGGTCCTGTTAGACCTCAGTGCTGCATTTGATCACAATATTTTATTATGATATTACAGTAACGGCTCTAAATTGGTTGGTATCTGATAGATTCCAATTTGTAAATGTAAATAATAAATATCCTGATGCATGCTCAATAATCATAATAATAATAATAATAAATCTTCATCGTACACCAAAGTTAGTCATGGAGTTCCTCAAGTTTCAGTGCTTGTTCTCTTTATCTTATATATGCTTCCATTAGGTAAAATTATCAAACAGCATGGGATACATTTTCATTGTTATGCTGATGATACACATTTATATTTGTCCATGAAACCCAATGAATCCATTCAGCTACTTAGACTACAAACATGTCTTAAAAACATAAAAAACCTGGATGACCCTAAATTTTCTCCTGTTGAACACAGACAAGACTGAGGTTTTGGTTTTTGGTCCTGAGTATCATAAGACTGAATTTTTCAGTCTTTCTCTCTCCTTAGATGGCATTAATCTGTCCTCCAGTTCTAATGTTAAAAATCTTGGTGTTATTTTTGATCAGGACATGTCTTTTATCTCCCACATTAAAAACGTTACTAGAACTGCCTTCTTCCACCTGCGTAATATCACTAAAATTAGAAACATCTAAAAATGATGCAAAAAAAAAACTGGTTCATGTATTTGTCATGTCTAGACTGGACTATTACAATGGTTTATTATCTGGGTGTCCAAATACTTCTTTAAAACGTCTTCAGTTGATCCAAAATGTTGCTGCCAGAGTCTTAACTGGAGTTAGTGGGAGAGATCATTCTCTCCAGTTTTAGCTTCTCTCCATTGGCTCCCTGTCAAATCCAGAATAGAATTCAAAATCTTACTTCTAACCTACAAAGCTCTCAACAACCTAGCTCCATCCTATATTACAGATCTTATTGTTCCATATTTTCCTAACAGAGCACTTCGTTCTCAGACTGCATGCTTACTCACAGTTCCTAGAGTTTCCAAAAGCAGAATGGGAGGAAGATCTTTCAGTTATTAGGCTCCTCTTGTGGAACCAACTTCCAGTTTCTGTCCATGAGGCTGACACAGTGTCCAGTTTTAAGACTGGGCTTAAGACTTTCCTTTTTGATAAATCTTATAATTAGGGTTGGCTTGTTATGCTGCCTTAAGCTTAGACTGCTGGAGGACAAATTGACCCCAAGACGCGTCCTGAGCTGCGCAACATGCTGTTTATACCGACAGTTTTACAGTTTTAGAGCAGGGTGGAGGAGAGGATATAAACAGACATCTCAGCCCTGCACTGTCTGTACCGACAGTTTTTCGAGTTTTGGGGTAGGTGGGGGGGCCTCAGCGTGAGGGTTCAGCATGTGGGAAGAGGCTGCCTTTAGCTTTTTAGCTAGCGTACCTGTATTGCAAGCTGCTATAGAGTTACGTCAGTGCCGGCAGGTGGTTGGTGGTGGTCATGGTGGGGAGGGGTTTGGTAGACGGGGTTCTCGGTTCTGTTGATGGGGCGGGGCACCCCGCCTGTAAAATAGTATGGGAAACACAGAGAGTCCAATCTTTATGCTTCCTAGCAAACTGAAGCCTTTTTTTCCAGTTAGCCTCATTGATTAGTGGTTTCTTAAGGCTACACAGCTGTTCAGTCCCAATTCCTTGAGTTCCTTCACATTGTGGAAATGTTCTTTCACTATTAAACACAGCCCCGAGTGCTACTGTTGTTAATCTTTGATTTGATTTCACCAAACCTTTAAGTGATCACCGATCACGACCAGTCAGGAATTTTTTCCGGCCACATTTCTTCCTCAAAGACGATGGGTCCCCACTATCCTTCCAGTTTTTAATAATGCGTTGGACAGATCTTAACCCAATTTTAGTAGTTTCTCCTTAGATGTTTTCTCTGCTTGATGCCAGTGATTTGACCCTTCTCAAACAGACTGACATCTTTTCCACGACCATGCGATGTGTTTTTCGACATGGTTGTTTAAGAAATGAGAAACAACTCATTGCACCAGTTGGGGTTAAATAACTTATTGCCAGCTAAAAGATAATCACCCATGCAGTAATTATCCAATAGGAGGCTCGTACCTATTTGCTTAGTTAAATCCAGGTGGCAACTTTTGTTTTGGCCAGGCAGTGTATTAGTTTTATGAATTTTTTTTCTTAACTTCCATCCATCCATCCATCCATTATCTTTACCCGCTTTTTCCATTTTGGGTCACGGGGGTCGCCGGTGCCCATGTCCAGCAATCACTGTGCGAGGGGCGGGGTACACCCTGGACGGGTCGCAAGTCCATCACAGGGACACATAGAGACAAACGAGACAAACAGCCATTCACTCTCTCACTCACACCTAGGGACAATTTAGAGTTATCAATCAGTCTAACATGCATGTTTTTGGTCTGTGGGAGGAAACTGGAGTACCTGGAGAAAACCCACGCATGCACGGAGAGAACATGCAAACTCCACCCAGAAAGGCCCCTGGACCGGGATTTGAACAAAGGACCTGCTCGCTGAGAGGCAGCAGCTCTACCAGTTGTGCCACTGTGCTGTCCTTTTCTTAACTTATTATTTGTATATAGAAATGTTTAAGTATCCTGAGATGACTTCTGTTGTGACTTGCTGCTATACTGTATAAATAAACTGAATTGAATCTCTGTGAATACTGGGAGCTGGAGGTAGTAATATAGTAGTAGTAGTAATAAGGTTTTCTCCGGATACTCCAGTTTCCTCCCACAGACAAAAACATGCATGTTAGGCAGCTTTCAGGTCCAGGCCTCCCTTGAAAAAGAGATCTGTGATCTCAATGGGATTTGCCTGGTTAAATAAAGGTTAATAAATAATAAATAAATATGTACTGTAGCTAGGTTCTGAATAATGTGTGGTGTTGTCTGAATCTGTGAGGTGAAGAAGGTGCATTAGTGCAAAAGGAGACAGCAGGTGGAGCTGCAGATTCTTGAAATTAAAATGAGCCAGCCATTTGATTGGTTTTATTCTCAAAATTTAAATTTTCTTTTCCTGTTTTTAACATGTAGTGAGAATCTTCACCAGCAACATGTAGTGTTTCTCTGTGTTTGATTAACTGAGGTGGGCCATCTATTAACGGCTATATTTTACTCTTGTTCAAGTAATTCCTTGATTTTACTCCCCTCTGCTGCTTCAGTCGTTCCTCTGGGTGTACAGTAAGCTTACAGCAGAACAGAGTGGGCTGCAGCATCATTCTGATCATGTCTGCTCATAGTTCATATCTCGTCTTTGCTCCTCTGGGGAAAAAACGAGTATTAGTTCTGGACTGAGACTTTGCATTCTGGTGGCAGTCGCTCTTTAGACGGTTCTGCTGATGTATGCTGCATTAAATATGTGGCCCTTTCAACAGGAAATTATATTTTTGCTGCCAAACAAAGTATAATGTGCAATTAACTGCAATGCAATAGTTTTAAAAATAGCGTTTGCATGAACTGAAAGTTTTGATTCTGGGGCTGATTTGATTTGCATTCAGACTAGCTGTTAGTTCGTCAGTCCTGTTGGTTGTAAATTGGACTGAATAATCCATCCATCCACCCATCCATCCATCCATCCATCTAGCCATCCAGCCATCCATCCACTTGCACTTGTTTTAAAGTTTGGTCATGGGGGCAGCAACTTGAGCAGGGAGACCCAGATGTCTCTTTCCACAGCAACCTCTTCCAGCTCTTGTGAGAGGATTCCAAGGCATTCCCAGGCCAAATGAGAGACATAGTCTCTCCAAAGTGTCCTGGGTCTTCCCCGGGATCTCCTGCCAGTCGGACATGCCCGAAGCATCTTCCTAGAGAGGCGCCCAGGGAGCATCTTTACTGGATGCCTGAACCACCTCAACTGGCTCTTCTCGATGTGGAGGAGCAGTGGTTCTACTCAGAATCTCTCCTGATATCTGAACTTCTCACCCCATCTCTAAGGGAGTGTCCAGCTACCCTGCAGAGGAAACCTATTTCAACCACATGTATCCACTATCTCATTCTTTCAGTCACTACCCAGATGCCCAAGCCACCTCAACTGGCTCCTCTCGATGTGGAGGAGCAGCGGCTCTACTCTGAGTCCTTCCCGGATGACTGAGCTTCTCACCTTATCTCTAAGGGAGAGCCCAGACACCCTGCGGAGAAAACTCATTTTGGCCGCTTGTAACCGTGATCTCGTTCTTTCAGTCACAACGCAAAGCTCATGACCATAGATGAGGGTAGGAATGTAGATCGACCGGTAAATTGAGAGCTTCGCCTTTTGACTCAGCTCTCTCTTCACGACGACAGACCGGT